TTTCTCTTTATCACAATGCCTGTTATTCTGGATGTAAAGGAGAGCAAGGAGCAGAACAAACACAGCTGAATGACTTTGAAAGCAATGTGGATATTTACATATATGTACACTATATACAGTTGGAAATGTATGTGTACAACACGGTTTAGGCAAGGCCAACACACAGCCTGGAGACAGAATGGACAACCGTGCTCAATCAGCTCTAGTATGGAAATGACAAAGGTAGACAGGTGGGTGGTGACCACAACACCTCTACGATTGCCAGTCCCACCTTCTTATTGGCTGAACCTGGGTACTGATCGAACGATGGGACCCCATCGTTCGATCCTAGTACTGGTTCGCTGGTTGGGGAGATAGCCTTTCAATGAGGGTGTGTACATGCGCCGAATAAAGGTTAAGTACTCTTTGCATGTCACACTCTTCCCTTCCATCCCTTCTCTACCCCCTTCCATCCCTTCTCTCTCTCGCCCTCCATCCCTTCTCCCTCCCCTTGCATCTCTTCTCTCTCCCCTCAATCCCTTTTCTCTCCCCGTCCATCCCTTCTCCGTCCAATTCCATCCCTTCTTTCTCCCCCTCCATCCCTTCTTCCTCCCCTTCCACATCTTCACTCTCCCCTCCATTCATTTTCTCTCCCCTTCCATCCCTTCTCCCTCCCTTTCCACCCCCTCTCTCTACCCTCCATCCCTTCTTTTCTCCCCTCCATCCCATCTCTCTCTCCTCCATCCCATCTCTCTCTCCTCTATCCCATCTCTCTCTCCTCCATCCCATCTCTCTCTCCTCCATCCCGTCTCTCTCTCCACTATCCCATCTCTCTCTCCTCCATCCCATCTCTCTCTCCTCCATCCCTTCTCTTTCCCCTCCATCCCTTCTCTCTCGCCTCCATCCCTTCCCTTCCCCTCTCCATCACTTCTCTCTCGCCTCCATCCCTTCTCTCTCCCTTCCAACCCTGCTCTCTCCCTTCCATCCCTTCCCTTCCCCTCTCCATCCCTTCTCTCCCCCACTGTTCTACCCCCCCACCTACCCTCCCCCCCCCCTCCATTCCCAAGACACCTGGCGTGTGTTCCAAGTGTTTAGGCACTTGTGGGCGAGAGGGACATATCATCCTAATCCACAATGGCCAAAAACACCATTGGAGAGGCCAGTATTTTCGCTCTTACGCACCTGAGATGCGTACCTACTGCGCCAGGCTCTCCTTAGTTAATTCTTACTTAATAATGCTGACACTCTGTCTTCATTTCCTGGAGGCTGGGTCTTGTTTGCTTCCCTGGCTGTGTGAAGGGATCGTGATCCAGGGAACGAGAGCTAAACTCTCCTTCCTTGGATCCGGACCTTATTGCCTCCCATTCTCCAAGAGCTGTAAGAAATTAATACAATGGTAGAGTATATTGAGACTATGTAAATAATACCCAGAGTGGGAGGTATGGCACTGTATTGTGGTGTATGGCACTGTATTGTGGTGTATGGCACTGTATTGTGGTGTATGGCGCTGTATTGTGGTGTATGGCACTGTATTGTGGTGTATGGCACTGTATTGTGGTGTATGGCACTGTATTGTGGTGTATGGCACTGTATTGTGGTGTATGGCACTGTATTGTGATGTATGGTACTGTATTGTGGTGTATGGCACTGTATTGTGGTGTATGGCACTGTATTGTGGTGTTATGGTACTGTATTGTGGTGTATGGCACTGTATTGTGGTGTATGGCACTGTATTGTGGTGTATGGTACTGTATTGTGGTGTATGGCACTGTATTGTGGTGTATGGTACTGTATTGTGGTGTATGGCACTGTATTGTGGTGTATGGCACTGTATTGTGGTGTATGGTACTGTATTGTGGTGTATGGCGCTGTATTGTGGTGTATGGCACTGTATTGTGATGTATGGCACTGTATTGTAGCGTATGGCACTGTATTGTTGGGTATAGCACTGTATTGTGGTGCATGGCACTGTATTGTTGTGTATGGCACTGTATTGTGGTGTATGGCACTGTATTGTGGTGTATGGCTCTGTATTGTGGTGTATGGCACTGTATTGTGGTGTATGGCATTGTATTGTGGTGTTTGGCACTGTATTGTGCAGTATGGCACTGTATTGTGGTGTATGGTACTGTATTGTGGTGTATGGCTCTGTATTGTGGTGTATGGCACTGTATTGAGTTGTATAGCACTGTATTGTGGTGTATGGCACTGTATTGTGGTGTATGGCACTGTACTGCGGTGTATGGCACTGTATTGTGGTGTATGGTACTGTATTGTGGTGTATGACACTGTATTGTGGTGTATGGCACTGTATTGTGGTGTATGGCACTGTATTGTGGTGTATGGCACTGTATTGTGGTGTATGGCACTGTATTGTGGTGTATAGCACTGTATTGTGGTGTATGGCACTGTATTGGGGTGTATAGCATTGTACTGTGGTGTATGGCACTGTATTGTGGTGTATGGCATTGTGTTGTGGTGTATGGCACTGGTTTATGGTGTATGACACTGTATTGTGGTGTATGGCACTGTACTGTGGTGTATGACACTGTATTGTGGTGTATGGAACTGTATTGTGGTGTATGGCACTGTATTGTGGTGTATGACACTGTATTGTGGTGCATGGCACTGTATTGTGGTGTATGGCCCTGTATTGTGGTGTATGGCATTGTGTTGTGGTGTATGGCACTGTATTGTGGTGTATGGCACTATATTGTGGTGTATGGCACTGTATTGTGGTGTATGACACTGTATTGTGGTGTGTGGCACTGTATTGTGGTGTATGGCCCAGTATTGTGGTGTATGGCATTGTGTTGTGGTGTATGGCACTGTATTGTAGTGTATGGCACTGTATTGTGGTGTATGGCACTGTATTATGGTGTATGGCACTGTATTGTGGTGTATGGCATTGTGTTGGGGTGTATGGCACTGTATTGTGGTGTATGGCACTGTATTGTGGTGTATGGCATTGTATTATAGTTTATGACACTGTATTATGGTGTATGACACTGTATTGCGGTGTACCACACTGTATTATAGTGTATGACACTGTGAGTACTGTATTGTGGTGCATAGCACTGTATTGTGGTGTATGGTACTGTATTGTGGTGTATGGCACTGTATTGTGGTGTATGGCACTGTATTGTGGTGTATGGTACTGTATTGTGGTGTATGGCGCTGTATTGTGGTGTATGGCACTGTATTGTGATGTATGGCACTGTATTGTAGCGTATGGCACTGTATTGTTGGGTATAACACTGTATTGTGGTGCATGGCCACTGTATTGTTGTGTATGGCACTGTATTGTGGTGTATGGCACTGTATTGTGGTGTATGGCTCTGTATTGTGGTGTATGGCACTGTATTGTGGTGTATGGCATTGTATTGTGGTGTTTGGCACTGTATTTGGCAGTATGGCACTGTATTGTGGTGTATGGTACTGTATTGTGTGTATGGCTCTGTATTGTGGTGTATGGCACTGTATTTAGTTGTATAGCACTGTATTGTGTGTATGCACTGTATTGTGGTGTATGGCACTGTACTGCGGTGTATGGCACTGTATTGTGGTGTATGTACTGTATTGTGGTGTATGACACTGTATGTGGTGTATGGCACTGTAAAGTGGTGTATGGGACTGTATTGTGGTGTATGCACTGTATTGTGGTGTATGGTCACTGTATTGTGGTATAGCACTGATTGTGGTGTATGGCACGTATTGGGTGATAGCATTGTACTGGTGTAGCACGTATTGGGTGTATGGCATTGTGTTGTGGTGTATGGCACTGGTTTATGGTTATGACACTGTATTGTGGTGTATGGCACTGTACTGTGGTGTATGACACTGTAATTGTTTATGGAACTGTATTGTGTGTATGGCACTGTATTGTGGTGTATACACTGTATTGTGGTGCATGGCACTGTATTGTGGTGTATGGCCCTGTATTGTGGTGTATGGCATTGTGTTGTGGTGTATGGCACTGTATTGTGGTGTATGGCACTATATTGTGGTGTATGGCACTGTATTGTGGTGTATACACTGTATTGTGGTGTTGGCACTGTATTGTGGTGTATGGCCCAGTATTGTGGTGTATGGCATTGTTGTGTGTATGGCACTGTATTGTAGTGTATGGCACTGTATTGTGGTGTATGGCACTGTATTAGGTGTATGGCACTGTATTGTGTGTATGGCATTGTGTTGTGGTGTATGGCACTGTATTGTGGTGTATGGCACTGTATTGTGGTGTATGGCATTGTATTATAGTTTATGACACTGTATTATGGTGTATGACACTGTATTGCGGTGTACCACACTGTATTATAGTGTATGACACTGTGAGTACTGTATTGTGGTGCATAGCACTGTATTGTGGTGTATGACACTGTATTGCGGTGTATGGCATTGTATTGTGGTGTATGACACTGTATTGCGGTGTATGGCATTGTATTGTGGTGTATGGCACTGTATTGTGGTGTATGGCACTGGTTGTGGTGTAGACACTGTATTGCGGTGTATGGCATTGTATTGTGGTGTATGGCACTGTATTGTGGTGTATGGCACTGTGTTGTGGTGTATGACACTGTATTGCGGTGTATGGCATTGTATTGTGGTGTATGGCACTGTATTGTGGTGTATGGCACTGTGTTGTGGTGTATGACACTGTATTGCGGTGTATGGCATTGTATTGTGGTGTATGGCACTGTGTTGTGGTGTATGACACTGTATTGCGGTGTATGGCATTGTATTGTGGTGTATGGCACTGTATTGTGGTGTATGGCACTGTGTTGTGGTGTATGACACTGTATTGCGGTGTATGGCATTGTATTGTGGTGTATGGCACTGTGTTGTGGTGTATGACACTGTATTATGGTGTATATTGTACAGTGTATATTGTATCCTGTGAAGATACAGTCTCAGGATAGTATATGTCTTTAAAAATGAAGTCAAAATTGCGTTTAATGAATCAAGTTGATGGAAAATGAGGTAAACCTCAGAGGATTTGGGATGTCGTGAACAAGGCTCACCTGTATGGAAGCATCCAAGGTATCTGCTACACGATCCCGAGGTCCAAGGGAGAAGGGAGACCCGTGTAGGGAGTCTGGAAATACAAACCAGCACATTAATTATTGGTTGGGTTTAGCGCTTTCCCCCCATTAAATATAATAATTAAAATCTACCATTTTTTTGCAGAGTTAAATTTACAAAAGGTAATGTGTGTGTGTGTGTGTGTGTGTGTGTGTGTGTGTATGTGTGTGTGTGTGTGTGCTCACCTAGTTGTACTCACCTAGTTGAGGTTGCAGGGGTCGAGTCCTAGCTCCTGGCCCCGCCTCTTCACTGGTCGATACTAGATCACTCTCCCTGAACCGTGAGCTTTATCGTACCTCTGCTTAAACCTATGTATGGATCCTGCCTCCACTACATCGCTTCCCAAACTATTCCACTTACTGACTGCTCTGTGGCTGAAGAAATACTTCCTAACATCCCTGTGATTTATCTGTGTCTTCAACCTCCAACTGTGTCCCCTTGTTGCTGTGTCCCATCTCTGGAACATCCTGCCTTTGTCCACCTTGTCAATTCCTCTCAGTATTTTGTATGTCGTTATCATTTCCCCCCTATCTCTCCTGTCCTCCAGTGTCGTCAGGTCGATGTTCCTTAACCTCTCCTCGTAGGACATATCTCTTAGCTCTGGACTGTCTTGTTGCAAACCTTTGCATTTTCTCTATTTTTCTTCACGTGCTTGGTTTAGGTGTGGGTTCCAAACTGGTGCCGCATACTCAACATGGGCCTAACGTACACGGTGTACAGGGTCCTGAATGATTCCTTATTAAGATGTCGGAATGTTTGTTCTGAGGTTTGCTAGGCGCCCATATGCTGCAGCAGTTATTTGGTTGATGTGCGCTTCAGGAGATGTGCCTGGTGTTATACTCACCCCAAGATCTTTTTCCTTGAGTGAGGTTTGTAGTCTCTGGCCCCCTAGACTGTACTCCGTCTGCGGCCTTCTTTGCCTTTCCCCAATCTTCATGGGTTTGCACTTGGTGGGGTTGAACTCCAGGAGCCTATTGCTGGACCAGGTCTGCAGCCTGTCCAGATCCCTTTGTAGTTCTGCCTGGTCGTCGACCGAATGAATTCTCATCAACTTCACGTCATCTGCAAACAGGGACACTTCGGAGTCTATTCCTTCAGTCATGTGTGTGTGTGTGCACGTGTGCGTGCACACACACACACACACACACACAAGTGCTTTGGCGATCCCACTCACCCAAAAGAACACATACAAAGTTTTAAGAATACGCACGTCACAGCTCATCCTCCAGCTGAATGATTGCATTCTTACACTCAAAAGAAACCATATCCCCGGCCGGGATTGAACCCGCGGTCATAGAGTCTCAAAACTCCAGCCCGTCGCGTTAGCCACTAGACCAGCTAGCCACAATAAGATTCATCCAACTAGGTATATTTCTACACCATAGGAAAGTTAGTCATGTTGACGGCAGTGAAGGGACTTGAGCTAGAGTTCGTCACAGCCACGCTAGCTGGAGATTCGTCTGTAAAAACTTGCATTTGTGGTCACAGTGGTGCCTGTGCTAACTTTCCTATGGTGTAGAAATATACCTAGTTGGATGAATCTTATTGTGGCTAGCTGGTCTAGTGGCTAACGCGACGGGCTGGAGTTTTGAGACTCTCTGACCGCGGGTTCAATCCCGGCCGGGGGTATGGTTTGTTTGCAATCGTGTCATTACGATTTCTTGAGTCATGGTACACTCAAAAGTTCAGGAACCAAGATTTGACCCCCAGGAGGCAGAAACTGGCGAGTGCACACCTATGTATCAAGTTAATGACCAAGCTTCCTACTAACTCCTGTTTCATTAAGGCCTCAACACTAGAGTAATGTAACAACTTAATATAAACACTGAGAAATACTTACAATTTTCCATCCTTCATTTACATAAAATTTGCATACATGCAATATTTACCACGGCGCCTACCAGTCTGGCTGGGTAATAATAATAATAATAATAATAATAATAATAATAATAATAATAATAATAATAATAATAATAATAATAATAATAATAATAATAATAATGTAAATTATTTATTCCTGAAGATTGGTTTGTACATCGAGGTGGTGATTCTTGTACGTGTAACTGTCGCAAGTATATTAACTATGTACGTGTATAGTGTACATGCATGTCTCACTGTATATGTATAGTGTACATGTATGCCTCACTGTACATGTATAGTGTACATGCATGCCTCACTGTATATGTATAGTGTACATGCATGCCTCACTGTACATGTATAGTGTACATGTATGCCTCACTGTACATGTGTAGTGTACATGCATGCCTCACTGTACATGTATAGTGTACATGTATGCCTCGCTGTTCATGTGTAGTGTACATGCATGCCTCACTGTACATGTATAGTGTACATGTATGCCTCACTGTACATGTGTAGTGTACATGCATGCCTCACTGTACATGTATAGTGTACATGTATGCCTCGCTGTTCATGTGTAGTGTACGTGCATGCCTCACTGTACATGTATAGTGTACATGTATGCCTTGCTGTACATGTATAGTGTACGTGCATGCCTCACTGTACATGTATAGTGTACGCGCATGCCTCACTGTACATGTATAGTGTACATGTATGTCCTACTGTACGTGTTCTAACAATATACTGCTACTACTCTCTGTATGTAAATATTATCCATATAATACCTTTACACGTGTTGCAGCACTGTACATATATGATCCTTGTATAATATTATATATTTACACTTATATATAACTCTTGCTTTCATATTCTTTTCTTCTCACAGTCACACTCATCATTACTACTTATTTAGCAAAACAGGAAAGGAATGAATGTTATCTTCCTGTGGTGTCTAAGGCATGTAGATAGCCCAGGACGATAATATTTATTGTTTTACTGGGTTATCTAGCGTAGGTCCATTATGATACCATCCTCCGGTTCCATTAAGAGAGGAAGTATGTATTCTTCACAAGATCCGCTATCATGCTGCCCGCTGTACACTAACGACCTTATAATACACACTGTCTCTCTAATAGTATCAGTACATACTAACTATCAGACACACCCTGTATTAACACCAGTCTGTAAGTGCAATTATTATTAACAAAATTCTATACAAAAAATACTCTTGTATTTAACTCTCTTTTTCATAGTATTCTTTAGTTTATTTTTTTTGAATTGTTTCTTGACATAAAAACACTTGTGGAAATTAAAACTCATTTTCTCAAGTTGCTGGACAGTTTTCTTGCTTATATGCATTTGGTAAAGAGTTTTGGCCTCATTATACGTTAGCTCACCAGGTGCCTTTAATTGTATCGACCGCACGTGGGTCATTATAGGCTGCAAATCACTTGAACACTAACATCAAGAATAGCTTTATTTTTAAGATAAGAATTAATTTTGAGTATCAGTGTATACACAGAGTAAAACTCAGGTGTAGACAGTGAGAATGATGAGTGATGTTTATTTTTAATTTTTTAACTATTGTTGTATTAAGGCAGAAGTACTGAAGTCAGAGCAGTCATACAGCACCTGGGAAATGGTAGGCAGGTTCCATCCAAGGAAGGGGAGGACAAGTTTAGTTACCTCACTGGAGGAGATCTTGGTCCGAGATCCTCATTTCACTGATGAGGATCTCAGATCGTCATCTAAATGTACAGACGCTGTTCTCCTTTTATTGTCGTGTGTTCTTCTTCGACCAGTGAAGAGATTTCAAGACGCACTGATGCTCTCTCTTTATCATACGCGGAGATACGAACCTTTCAACGTATATACACCGTTTGTGCTATTTAATTTGTTATATATCAAAACAGTTGACAACATGAGGGTCGTCAGAGCTGCCTATAATTTATACATGAACAATTAACAATATATTAATAATTTAGAAATGAACGAAAGTAATCTATATGTACAGACAGAGCTACAGAAATATAAGCCTTTCAGTATATATCCACAGATATTAACCTCTCAGTGAATATGCTACAGGATGTGTGGAATTTGCACACGGAGTGAGCATCCCGGTCAACTCTAGTTGTTCAACTTTCCCAGGTTTCAACAGTTCAGCTGAATTGCATTCTCTAACCATGTAGACGAATTGTTGAAAATATTACTGTTTTACACTGAGTGCAATTTTGACACAAGAGAATCCCTGCTGCTTGCGAGGGACTCCTGATCCCAGTAATTAGATCTTCCTCTGATCAACCCTAATTACATCCCATTCTCCAGGCATCGTAAGACCCTTACAGGTTAAGCCCTTCCCGGTTCGTATATTTATACTAACAGTTAATCTGAAGTATTTTACTATTAAAGGCAAGATTGACTGGGGTCACCCTGAGAATGTATCCAATATGGTTTCCAAAAATTTCTACCTTTGTCGAGACAGAATTTTCAATGTCTTCTGGCTGTATTATAATGAAGGTACGACAATACCAACACGTAGAAGAGAAATATACATGTGCAACAGTGAGGTATCTTTATTTCAGAAACATTTCGCCTATACAGAAGGCTTGTTTAGTGGAAACCAGAGGAGACTAAATATGCTTCTGAAGCCTACCGTGTACACGGAAAGTTTCGGTATTAAGGATACCTAAGTGTTGCATGATACAAGTTACGGTGTATTTAAGTGGCATGGTATTACTCTGTATGTCTCTGCTGAAGTTAAAAAAAAAGGCCACTGACTGGCAAAACGTCTGTCTAATAAAGATACCCAGGTGTTGCATATGTGTCATTATTTGCCCTAGTTCTGCTTAGAAATACCTAGTAATTAAGAGTCTTACCTAGATATCAGAGTATTTAACTTGTTTGATGAAACAGGAATTACAAGCATTTAACATGTATGTTTTAACTTGAAATTCCAAGAATTAAACTTGAATATTTTGCTTTGAGATTCCAAGTATTTAACCTGTGCGTTTTACCCTGAAATTCCAAGCATTGAACATGAAAATTTTTGCCTTTAAGTTCAAAGTATTTAATCGGAATGTTCTTCTTAGATTTTCCCAGCCGATTTGTTCTCGTCAAATGCCAGCACAAAGGACGTAGTGTGCATTAGCTTCAAGA